TGTGACATTTGCCCAACTAGCAGACTGTTTTAAGAAGAAGAAATGGGAAACGGATGATGATGCATTGAAGATAGCAGTCCTGTATTTTGTCAACAACTTCTTATTTTCTCAACTCAAAACAAAGTCTATTTCACGGTCTTACATTGACTTGGTTGATTCTGGTGATTTTAATAATTATCCCTGGGGTATAGATGTTTATAAAGCTACAATTGACTCATGTTCCAACAAGTTTCAAGATAAGCCTTCTTTTTATAGACTTGGTGGCTTCCCGTTGGCTTTACAGACTTGGTTGTATGAATGCTGCCCAAGTTTGGATGGTCACTTTGCTGATCATCTTGGAAACAACAAACTTCCACGAATTTTGAAATGGGCAGTCGTGGGTCAAATCCCAAATGAGTGAGTTGCTTTGCAAATGTGTAGCTTGCAACGCAAGCAGGTAATTTTCTCATAGTTTTATTGCCTCTCTTAATGTTTTGGTACACTAGTTTAGTCACAGTTGTAGCAATATCCCAGTTTAGTGATATACTCTGTTGGTATACATGTATACTATATTGGTATCACGTATACTATATCCCAGTTCAGTGATATACTCTGTTGGTATACATGTATACTATATTGGTATCATGTATACTATATCCCAGTTCAGTGATATACTCTGTTGGTATACATGTATACTATATTGGTATCATATGGTAATATGGATCTTTTTTCTTTCATACTTTATTATCATTTCTATTTCTAACTAGTGTGCTTAATAATTGCAGCTAAAGAACATCACCCCAACTGATGATAAGAAGAAACAATTTGATGTGCGTGGTCTAAGCTTTGAAATTGAAGTTGAGTGCACTGACAGCCAACCCAGCCAGCCCGATAGCTTTCAGGTTTTTGGCACTCAATTACCAAAGACAAAAAGTATACCTGAAAGTACTGGAGGTGATTCCCAACCTACCAATGCTGAGGTAATGAAGGAGTTACAAGCTTTGACGTTTTTTGTAGAGAACAAGTTTGAGGAGGTGCTTGCAGCTATTGGTAGGCAGTCAGTGAAACCAGAGGAAAATTCAGCGGTATTCATCTTTTATATAATATAATGCTGTAGTATATTGTTCAAAGATGCAATATATGCTTATAGGATACTATTCCATTCTTTACTTTTAGTGCACATAGTATTCTTGTAATATACATAAGACTAAAATTGTTAGTTTCTCATTTTCAGCACAAGCAACAGGATGATGATTTGCGTTCTGGTAAAATGTTGTATATGTAATTTTTGATTATTTTTTTATTTATTTAACTCTATGTATTTGTGCATTGACTAACCTTTTTTAAAAAAACTTTTTTCAGCCCCCTTCGTAAATGAGCATGATTTTGGCTTGGATTCTAACTTTGAACTATCTGCATCTGCAATTGATCAAATCACCACTATTACACAACAAGCAACATATAAGCAATCATCTCATGATGTTAAAAAGTCGGGTCCTGCTCCGCTGCCATCAGGAATCCCTGTACAGACACGAGGAAATGTTGTTATTAAGTCTAATACTGCTCCACAGGGTACTATGTTGCTGTTAGTAATTCTGTAGTTAGTATGTAAATGATAGGTTCTTGATAGTTTTTTATTTTTTATTTAAGTAATGATGCTGATAATGATTTTATGTGTTCAGCATGTAGGGTTGATGGTGTTGGTCAAGTGGATGTTGGTGGAAGTAATGTGAATTTTCCTTCTGGTAATGTCTTCTATATATAACTTTTCATTCTTTTTTTCTAAATTTCTTAACTTTGTATATTTATTTATTCACTAGCATTTTCTAATTTAAGCTCCATGTCGACACGGGGGTGATCTTCACTTGGATTCTGATTTTGAATATACTGATTCTCAACTTTATCTAATTGCTGCCATTACACAAGGAGGGAGACGTAATGTAAATCAATATGGAAATGATCTGACAACTCGTGCTGTAAATAAGTCTAAACCTGATCAGTCGGTATCAAGAAATATTGTTCAGATACAAACAGATGTTGAAACTACTCCTGCAGTTTTAACACGGAAAAGGCGACCCGCAACTGTAAAACAGTCACCGTATAGAAATGACTGGCAATCTGGTGTTAGTGCAGTTGGGGGATCCTCGAAGGTTATCAAAGGAAGATTTCCATTTGTAAATGACATTTCAGAGACGGTTGATTTTAAGCTTACGACTGCATTCTCAAACTTTGTTGAAGCAAATATGCAATTGGGAGAGTGCGTATTCGTTTCCATGTACTTTTGTTTTCATTTTTTTCTTAATGTTTGTTGTTATATTTCTTATCCATATCTTCTTTTATNATTATCCATATCTTCTTTTATATGAAATAGGGAAGTGTATTTACCTGGTGATCAAAAGCTAGAGCCTTATTTTGACTTTGAAGTTGAATAGATTGATGATAAGACGTTTTTCCATACCTTAAACTTTTCTGGCAGGCCGCTCTCTAGTTCGGTATGTGTACTATTTTTTATTTTTGTTGTTGTAGTAGTTCATTCATATTGTTAGTGGTAGTCATGTTTTCTTCCTCTCTTTTTTGCAGCACTTGAATATTATATTCTACTATCTTAGGAAGAAGGCGAAATATGGAATTAATATGCCAATCAAAGTCACAACTACAGATACTCTTTTTAATAATATCATTCAAAGGGTTTTCACAGAATTTGTAAAAGGTGGGAAACAAGATCATTTGATTGATAGATCAGACGATATCATGGAGTACATGAAAGGATTTAGGATGTATTGCAACACTCCATGGCACCAGGTTGATCATGTCCTTTTTCCAATTAATTTGGCAGAAATTT